GAAGCAGGGCTTGTTACAGACTTTCCTGAGAAAGTCAAAGGGAAAAGGACTCCCAGCAATTTTATCCTTCCACCAGCTCCCTGCTCCATGTCTAGGAAAGCCTTGGAATTTTGATTTCTTCATTTCTAATTATGCTTTCTCTATAAATATGAAAACTGACCAGTATAACACCATGTAACTTTCCAACCCACTTTGCTTTCCCTGTACTATGTTTTTCCTAAAAAAAAGCTTTTCTTAAAAGTTAAGGAACCTTTATGTTAATGCATATTAATAAATTCAGCCATTTACTAAGAGAAAGTAACTTAGAAGCATTTCAAATTGCAAAACAAGAAACCTTCAACAACTAAAGGAAGTTAAATTTAAAAGTGAAGTCTATTTTCTAGAGACAGTTTACTCTAAATTTTAGTTTGCCCATACAGATTTTTCAGGAAATGACTTATTTTGAGAGGGAGGGGAGGAAGAAAAGTAGAAGGCAGCAAAAAGAGACCTTGAAGTTTGCTCCTTCAGAGTGTAATAATGGTTTTCACTGGACACATGGCCATCTAACACAAGAGGGTGAAAATGCTAGAAACACAATCTCTACCTCATCTCTATGCAACCTGCTCTCATGGCAGAGACTTCAGTACGATTGTGAATGCTGTGTTACCTTTTGTTTTCCTTCCTTCTCTGCCTTCATGTAGTTCTTGCCCTCCTTTGAGACCCACTGGTTCTCACTGGCCAGACAGACAGACAGACAGACCTGCTCTGCCCTCCTGCTTGAGAGCAGAGAAGAGAAAGGCAAGGGGGCAATGCAGGCTGCCAACAATTCCCCACCTTTGTGCCACAGCAAAGGGCAGCTACTCAAGCAGACACCAGGCCAGCACAGGGGACAAACAAAGCCAGAAGCAGTTTCAGGGGGATGGCAGTTTAGACTCACAATACTTCACCCATGTGAGAGGAGCATTGCCTTAGTCATTTGTGCAGAAAGGGTAACAATCCCATAAACACTGCAGAACTAACAGTGAGGTCTAGGTCATAATCCATTACCAGAAAAACCACCACAACTAACTAAACCCCAAATAAAACCTGCTGCTATGGAAAAAAACCCAAAACATCCCTTTAATGCAAATTACACTGTATTAAAATAAAAAAGAAATTAAAATTTCAAAATACAAAAAGATTAATCCCATATTTGGATTAAAAAAAATCCCAAACATTTATGCCACTTGGAATATCATTAACAACCAGCTGATTCATTCTGCAGGTCCAGCCTGCTTGAAGCCAGACCCTGCTCAACACCAAACCAGCAGTGGGCTCACTTTGTGCAGGGCTATCTGAACCAGCCTAAATCACATTCCCTCAGTTCCATGGTATCAGGAACACCAATGTTTGGTGTGGGCCATGCTAGCTGAACTCCAGAATAAGCAGGTACTGATGCTAGTTATAAACCAACTTGATGCACTTTGGGACATTTTTAACTAAGGAGGCCCAGGAAGGTAATGATTGGGTTTTTAAAATCACTTTTAACCAATACACTAATTTTCAAAGTTCAAATGAATTATTTAATCTTTTTTTCACAGTTAACCAAACCTCCACAGATTGAACATGGAAAGAACTCCCCATTTTGGTGCCAATTCAGGGAAGAAGCAACAGGTAGCTTTGCATTGAAAAACCAGTAGCTTCTCCTGATAAACTCCAGAAGATTTTCTAAGCAAATTTCATCTGATGAGTTGAGATCACAAAGACTTGTTCAGCTACTAAAGCATGCTCACCATGGGGTAAAGGACAGCATTGCTTCCACCAGTTCTCTATGAGGAGGCGAAACACATCCATCAAACCTCAGTGGGTCAAATGTAAGCAACACAAGAAAGGCTCTAAGACACTCCCTTTTTTGCAGCTTGAACATTTCTAAACAGAAATGTGGTGGTAACTGAGAACAAACACAACTTCTGGCTCTCAAAAACCCAAGAACAGTTTAGATAGATTTTGGAATGAAATGCAAGACAACACAGGGCTGATTGTGTCAGTAAGGCAAGAAAGAGATCAGATGCATTAAAAGATAAAATATTGTATATTCTGAATGTTCGCAGGATTTTTCTCCTCTACTAAGAACAATTCAATATGGCCACTTAACTTCTGGTAATCCCTACAGCATGAATGAGCATTACATGCTTTTTCCATAATATTTTCAGTAAAATAATGACTTCATTATATTTTATAATATATAAAAGAAACATTAAAATAGTTCTGAGTTCTTACTGTTTATTTTTCCCACTCATGTATCAGAAATACCAAGTCTATTCTTCATTGGTTATAAATGATGCTTGTGAAAGTTCCAGGGTACAGTCGCTTCTATTAGTCCACAACTGATAAAAAGCAGATGTGCTAAATCTAAATCCCCTCATTTATCAGAGCCATTATATACTGAAGTTATAGATATTAATTCTTTGAACCATGCAAAAAATACAACTCTCCCCCTGGAAACAGTTGGGATTTCATTGGTTTGATCCTGACTCATCAGTAGACCCATAGAGTCTTAAGAGTTTCAAAGCTGAAAGCCTTTATTTTTCCACACAAAAGGCAAGAAGAAAAAAACCCACCCACTTGAAAATCCCTTTCATGCATGATAAAAATGGCCATAACTCGATCAAAGCAAAAACAGTAGTAACGTTTTCCATGAATTCTGACCAAAGAATCTGAACAATTCATACAAAAGAACAAAGGTCAGTATGCTGCACAGTCTGCTTTCCACTTCCCTACCACAGACAAATATCCATGGCTGGTCAAAAATGTACCTGTCCCAAAGAAGAGTTCCACCTCAGAAATATCTGGTTTATGAATCAAAAATCGTCTGTGAAGAGCAAGAAAAACCACAGCACAAAATAGAAGAATATGTTTTCTTTCCTGATTTGGTATCAGATTAACATAAAACCAGAAACGGTGGGAGGAGGGATGTAAAGGTTGATATGAATAACCAGCAGCTGTTACCAGCATAAGATTTTCCCACAAATTCACTATTACATCTCTTCTGTGCTGCAACTTACAGCAACTGCTAAGTTTCATGTGTTACCTGTTCAAGTAACTACTTCTCAGCAGAAACATTTATACCAAATTACTTGATAGTTATATTTCTCCAAACAAAACTGGATATGGGTTTTTTTCAAAAATGTAAATTCAGGACATGTCTTCTAAGTAATGCTATCACTCATTAAACAAATAACACTTCCTGTAATTAAGAACTGAAGAAAATTGTTTGAAGTTGCACAGCAAAACCAGTCTGCAGATGTACCTTTACTTACAAAGCAGTTATCACAAATGCTACTTTCTTTTCTTTTTTTGTGGTCATTTATTCTGTTTCACAAAGGGGTTTAAAATTATTACATCTCAAACGAAAACCTATAAAAACATATTGAAAGATACAACATGCTTAAAAAGAGTTTTCTTGGTTTCACAAGCTTTTCTTGTTTCTCTTTTATGAAGAGTTGAGAAATTAAAATTAGCATTTGAAAGATTGCTTAAACTTCTCATTCAGGTGTCAGATTCCACAGGTGCAATTTCTCATTAAGTACAGTGAAACCTTTGCTAGGCAACCTCTGTTCTTAACATTATACAGCAAAACAGAAAAATTCTCCTTTGCCTACAACTGAAGATATTCTTAGACAAATAATCAACTAAAAGATAAAGTCTAAGATGAGCACAAAAAAAACATGCTGTTTATCTGTCCTATTACCTTAAATATCAAGAGTATCAAGATTCTGTAACTTCTGGTTAAAGGAACTTTAACTTCCGCTGTTTCATTTTGGAGGTATGCATGGGCTTCCTCAAGATCTTACTACTCAAATGGCAAATTCAGATAATGCTTTAATTTTTAACTCTCGTCCAAATAAATAAAAAATAGAAAGCAGAGTTTCTAATAACAATTCATCTTCAAAATTATCACTAGAGTACCTTTAATATGAAAGGCAGTACCACTAAACAACAATGAAAAAAAAAAAGGCACACACCCACTGAACACACACATTAAACCAAAACTAACTTGGAACCTTCTGCTCTAAACCAAAAACATGGTTCAAGTCTTCTTGCATTCTAAGGTTCTTCTTTTTCATTTAATCTTTCTTATACATATATGGGAAGACATTAATTCTAACTGTTCAGTATTTTGTCCCACAACACAGAATAAACATCTTCACGCTTCTAGTAAAATGTCTTCATAAAATAAATTTACTAAGGATAATATAAATGACAGCTTCAGGAGATGAGAAAAATGCAATGAAAGCAACATGATCACCCATTCCAGAGAGCAGTTTCTGAAATACTTACAAAAGCTTTTAACCTTACAAGCTCTACAAACCTTAATACAGAAGACACTACAAACAGAAGTTTTATTGTCCACTGTAATATGGATTCATACCATTTGTGCAAAGTAAGAACACTAATTAAAGATCTTGTTCTGAATTATTTTGCTGACTTTTCCAAGTCAATACTTATTTTTGCAGAAGTCCTTGTGAAAGCCATCAAGCAATTTAAAAAAATGGCAGAGAGAAAAGTAAAATTATTAAATCTACGGGACAACTTTTTTTAAAGTTTACTTATATTGTTACCAGTGACAATTCATAAGCATTAACTAGAGGAGACAATCTCTTATGCATGGTCCAAGATAGCTAATACTGAATACTTACACCCCAGGTGTCTCCCAAATAAAGACCATCACTTGCACAGAAGTACACTAGACAATATTTATCTATTTTGACTTGCTGCTAGTTTTGGTTTGTTAAAACAGAGTCACAACCCAATCTAATTCCTTGAATAACTCCAGGCACATTTAAATTAACACCAAAATGATTATTTTAATTAAAAAAAAACCTATAAAACACCAAAACCATCAATGCTTTCCATGACACTAGACAAAAATTCTGCAGAACAATGACATTTTATATCTCATGCAATAAATGAAATTTGAAGAAATTATTTATTAGGTTGTTCAACCTGAATATAATTAATACTTGATGTGTTGTATTTACCATTCTGTAATCCCATCCACAATTGCTTATGATCCTTTTTTTGCATTTCATTGATGACTTGACTTTTGTGCTTTAAAGCATCTGCTTCTTTTATACAAGCCATAAAATGAGCTTCAATCACATCCTTAGAATGGCAGTGTAGAAGATCCTTTTCTGGAAAATTCTACAAAAATAAATGATAGATCAAGAAAAATAAATGTATCATACACCTTGTATGATGAAGAATAAATGATAATTTTAAATGGGCACACATTTATGCAAAAGAAGCACACTGGAATTTTCTACTTACAGAAGAATGTAACAACCATTCTCTCACTCTGCTGACAAGAAACAGGTTGCAGTGAAAATGTTTCAGGAAAAATAAAAGCTCAACAACTTTCTGTAAAACCAGAATTTTAATATGTTTTCAAGCAGATATTCAATCTCAGACATTAAATAGAAGAAAATGATGAGAAGTGACAAGCATCTAATACGAAATAGCTCTCTGATATTTTATCAACCATTTCTATGCAGATCCTTGAAAATCAAGCAGTATCCCCTACATATAAGAACTGTAGCATATCTGTCACTTACAAACATTTTTCCTTAGAGACACTGGAAATCTTTGTCAGTTCCAGCTTCAACTAATCCACATGACTACTGCTAGCTTGTGTGACTTGATTTTATATCCCTTTTGCTTGGTTACACTGGCACACAGCATTCAGCATTGCAGATGCACAGCTACCACTCCTCAGGTAACTCTTAACCCTTCAGTAAATGACACCTACCTCTCCTAATGAATTTATTAAGGAGTTATGGCAGTATATCTCATTCAGATACAAAAAAGATTTCTTTGAACATTAACTGGTCAGAAGTCTGGCACTGTAGAGGTTGTGGGTTTTCTTCCTCCAGTTTTTCTTTTATCCACACTTACTATCACTAACCATTTTATAATAACACAAGCTTTCACTACCACAAATCCACTACCTTTAGCTTTCACAAGTTTTAAACCCCTATTCCCTCCTAATTAACTTTATTTTCACAGTTGCTTATGACCATGCTGAATGGAGCAAACCTCAGAGCCAAGCCAGAGTGGTGGCACCATCAGTACTTCCCTTCCTAACAAGGGCTTGCCACATGTTTATACTTAAATTCTCATGCTATTCCAACAGAGGCCCTTTCCTCTTAATCCATTACAAACTGGCACTTTAAAAAGCTTTTGTGAGGGACTGTCAAAACCGTTTTGGAAATACAAATACATATAATGGAGTATCTTTCAAAGGCTTTTACAACATAGTTAACATGTAAAAGTAGGAGCAACCTAATGTCAGAAAAAACTCTACCTTCACTCCCCCACATAACCTCAAGAAAAAATGACTGCTTCAAAATACAGAAACCCAAAATATCAAAAAGGGAGCTGAGGATTGCCTTACCTGAAAGAAATTCTGAGGAAAACAGTGATAGTTCCCTCCTCATTAGGTTATTGAGAAGAGTTGGAAATTAAATAATGGAATTTCAGATAGTGTTTCCTCTTTATGACAGTGAGAACCCAAACTCTGGAAACTGTGGATCAAAAGGATGAGTATTTTCCAAAAACAGGGGCATAAAGAAAAGATTGCCAATATCTTTTCCACTAAAGTTTACATGGTTTGAGCTGAACTTGCAAAAGGAAATGCTGTTGTTAGGACTGGTGTATGTTAAGCTGACTAGAAAGCTAAGGACAGAGGTAAATCTAGTTTCTTACATGAGAATGGCCAAGTATGAAGACATTAAAGAAGACAGAACAATAAGGAAAGTTCTTCGGGGGCAGACCTTGCTCCTGTTCTACTCCACAAAGCGGAGTGTCTCAGCATAATTGGGCCCAAGATTACAAGGAAAACATTACTGAGACTGTTACTTGCCAATTGACATCTGCATAGGCCTGTAAATTCTTTCAGAAGTTCAATTTACTTGCTCAAATAAAAATGTAAAGTCTCGTAACCAATCCAGAAGAAACAAATAGACAGAAATAGCATACTTAAAGATCAAAAAAGTTCTTTACACACAAGAATTCAAAGAGAGACACTGGCATCCCTTACAACAAAGGAAAAAACAGTGGTACATACCTAATGCCAAATAATATAAGAACCTAGAAACTGACTTTCCTAGTTTAAAAGTGATATTTTAGCAAAGTTTATGAAAACAACAGTTTTGTTACAACAACTGTTTCACCACACATGTAAATATTGGACTGCAGAGTCTTTTTTTGGACATTCTTCTCTTTCTGCAGGTAGACATCTTCCTGCTTACATTTTTCCAATGCATTTCAAATTGCAGCTAATGTCACTCCCTGAGGATGAGTTCCAGAAAACATACACAGTGCAGTCTGCAGAACAGCAATGACCTATTTAAAATTGGTCAAAGCTAGTTAAGCTAGTGTAAAGAATCTAGACACAGTAGTAGAACTAGGTGTGGCAAGATTAATTTTCCCAGCTTCTAAGGAGTAACACTGTGAAAGACTGGAAAACACTCCTGAACCTCAGTGCTGCATATGCTTTTCTTTAGCAGGAAAACACTGACACATTTCTATGAAGTACTGTGAGGAGAAGCTGAAAAACCTAAACATGAAAGTGATGACTTAAAAAGAAACACTGCACACCTGCAAGAAGTAAATGAAACAGTTTCACCTACATGAGACTGTCAACAGAAAACATGGCATCCCAGCTGATTTATCCATCAGGGTACAAAACAGTAAGTTTTATATTTAAATGTAGGTCATGTATGCTTGTATTTTTAAAAAAAAATTCTACCTGAAGAAATACTGATCAATCATAAATAACTTCATTCAGATCCCTGAAGAAAGGGACAATTGTAAACTGGTTGCCACTCCTGGCTATACAATTAGGAGATTTGCAAAAAGTATTAACAGATGACATAAGTAGCTTTAATTCAAGTACTCTCATTGGTGGTGTCTTACTCCCTCCATGTCCTGCATCTTTGAAAGAACAGTTACTACGCATTGGCTCTGATTTTCTTAGAAAGCTCAAGGAGTTCTGGTTTTTGTTTTCACATACCAGTAGACCCTTGCAGTATGAACTGGTCACCAAGAAATAGGTACTGTCTGTACAGACAAGAGCACTAAATGACCTCTCACAAAAAAAACTGTACCAAAAACATCACTGGCAATTTCAACAGTCTGGTTTCATAACTCCATTCCACCCATATTTATCTCTCAGTTCTAGTTCACAAAACATCTGTTTATCCTGTGACAGTCTACTTGCATTAGACTACATTTACAGAAAAGAGGGCATTAAAAATCATAAGGAATCTATCCAGTGGCAGGGGGTACATCTATATATTTGTGTTTAGTTACCATCAGTGGTCTTTCTTTAAGTAGACTGATTTAAAAAAAACCTCATTTATACTTCTGGCTTCCACAATATCTCCTAGCAGTTCCACAATTTATCCATATGCTACATGGAAAAGTACTTCCTTTCCATTGCACCCGACCCAATCTTCACCTAAAAATCCACAAAGATGATGTCTGTCACACCAGGACAGCTGCTGCCTCTCCTCCTGTACATCAGGTCATGGGTGGAGGGGCAGGCACCAGCAGACAATGGCTTCAGCACAACCTCAGCATTTCCCCGGCACACACAATTCCCTCTCCTCCAACAGTGCTGCCATCTTATCTACTGCCCAAAATCTGGAGGGGTGATTACCACACTGAGAACTGAGTAGTGTTAAACAGGCCTCAGAGTAAGGTGAGATGGTTTTAACAGGAAGGGGTAGAATTTCCCTCCTTCCTCTAAAGCCACACCTGGATAACAACAGCAACTTGAGCTACAGCCTCTCATGATTCTCAGACCCCAGTATGCTGTTCAGCCTCATCCTTCTGCAACTATTTAATGCAACTGTTTTTCAACTTTACAAGATACAATGCATGTAATTTTATTGCATACCAGAAGTAAAAATTAACAAACTAATTCTTCAATGCAAAAGCTCACTGTGTTTATGATTTGGTCTGCATACATAACACAGGAGGACAATTACAAACACCTGTCAACTTGAAAACTTCTGCTGAACACAAATAAGCCTTTTCCATGTTTTTAACTTCAAACAAGGAAACCTGATAGGGGGAGTCTGACTTATTAAAAATAAGTTGAAAAACACTTTTTACAGATGTTTGAGATATCTGTTGTTGACTGCATGCATTGGTAGAAGAGACAGCCACAACAACAAAAGTTAAACACCATAAAAGCTAACACTGTTTAATTAAGCCAAATAAGAATTACGACTCTTTGAAGAATAACTACACAGAAATGAAAAGAACACTCTACTCAAAAATCCCACACCTAAGCTGTAAGGAACTGTAACACATGAAAACCTCTTCAATATTTTGACATACTTTGATATCTTTCAGCTATGTTTTGACTTAAGGATTCAGAGGGATTTTATTTAAATAAACTTTAGATTACATCAAAATAGGAAGAGAGATTATGCAGGTGCTAACTCCACAGTATTATATTACTAAATTACATCAACCTTTAAAATAATACTACCTTAGCAGTTAATTATTTCTGCTGATCTTTAATGTACACCTTTCAGAAAAACTAAAAGTAGCTGATCTTTTGGCAAGCAGCAACATGGACATTAAAGCCAAATTTATGCTGCTGATTAAAAAGCACTGTGGTGCTGCAACTTCTCAAGATGCCTCTACTTTGTGATGGCAACATCCCCACATTGCCACTGTTAATATCCCAGAGCTCTCAGAACATAACAATTAAAGCATGGTTTATGAAACTAGACGCCCTACATTTTCATTAGGACATTCTGGAAGTTTCCTCATCCCAGCTCGCTGACATTTATCAGACAAGTGTAGCAATTACAGTGGTTTCAAAAACATCCCCGACTTCAGATCTATTAAGTCAGTCATTCTAGAAGTTTCAACATGTAGAAATACATATCATAAGAATGTATGCTTTCAGTGTACACTTCCAAAAAGAATCAGATTACTGTTGGAAAAAGTTTTTCTAACACACCTTTGAGAATTGTTTCAATGAAAACATTCAACACAAGTGCTAGTGCTTCCCCAATACATTTTTCATTTCACTCAATCCCTCAAGCACTAAAGTAAAGCCTATTAATGTAGTGTTGTCTTTCAGATCAGTTTTCCTATTGCGCTGTTTCTTTTACAATGGAGAAATTAACATTTCAAAGTTAAATATCATGATTTCTAGTTGTGCTTTTGACTTCAAAACATCCTTGGAATTATTGCCTCAATGCATTTCAGAGTATGCAAGAATCCTGCACCAAAGCTAACCTTGTTCAAGTTCCATTCTGAGCAAACATCAGTAGTGCTGTTAAGCCATACCTAATGGTTTTACAATGCATAATCAAAATAATGTCTCTCCTGTGACTAAGCAGTCACAAGACCAAACTCATTTCACTCAGTTCTCCAAAAGGGACCAGCATTAAGTACAACAGTATTCCCTGACTTCAAAGATTTCTACAGCATCTCATATCCATGCTCATATATGCCTAAAAGGACGAGCACTTCTCAATCTTCCCAATCTTCAGCGAACTCAAACCAATTAAATTTAAAACATTATAGGAAGTTCTTCTATTATAAGCCTCATAACTTGAAAAACAATTTTGTATTTTGAGATTATAATAGAATAATTTTCTACAGAAAGTGCAGTAAAAGCACACACAGTCTCATGGAAAATAGCTGCAGATTTACAGAAACCATTAAATGCTTCCTGAACAATGGATAGTCTCCCTTTCAAATCACATCATACACCTGTTTTATAAAATAGTTATGAAACCTTTTCCCAGCTTCCAAATGTCATGAAATCTCATGTTCACTCATTCTTAAGAAATCTCTATCAATTTACCTTGAAATGCACTGTGATGCTCCAAGGAAGGGCTGTATTTGATGCATGGAGATCAAAGAGTAAACCAATTGGGTAATGCCTAAAAATGACAAGATATTAATTTAATATAGAAGCCATGCATTTAATTCTATGTATCACCAGTATCAACATACCTGCATTTACACACACACACACAAAATAGCTGTTTGACTCCCACTCTATAACTTAGAAAAGTTATACAGGCAAATTTAGATGACTGACAGGCAGAATTAAGTCTGGAATGTACATATGTACATGTTCAATATCTAAACCAGTGGTTTCCAAGCTGTGCCCACAAAACACTGCTACTTTTGCAACAGCCTTAAGTGGCCCACAGCTGCTTTGTGGAACCTTCCAAAACAGAACTTCTGGTTAAAAAGCCTCAGACCAGGAAAAGCACACAGGCTTTCAGATGCTTGAGTGTCTGGGGTTCATACCACACTGACCCTTAATATCCTTTCCTTCTTCCATATGTCTGATATAGCAATGCAGAGAATAAGGAGAAGAGTGAAAAAATTACATATCTGTAAAAGGCCTGAAAGATGACAGATCAAGATCAACTCTGTATCTTTGCTATCAAATGAAGAAGAATGAAAAGGAAGGAAAAAAATTATTGGAGTTTTGTATTTCAGTGGCATTCTAGATTAAAGAAGTTACACAAAAAAGGTTGCTTCTGACAAATATTCCCTTCTGTCTCACAGCTTTCTCTCCTTTAAATTCATTAGAATATACAGCCCCCAGCAGTATATGGAACGTGTACCACACACACAAAACCTCCACAGGCACTACAAAAAAAGCTCTTTTTTCAGTTTTCTCACACACAGATATTGGCAAGATTTTTGATAAAATAGTTTTTTTTTACATTCACTGTACCAAGATCCATTCTCTTATCTTTCAAAAATCATAACCCAAACAGCCTTACTTGCTTTTCATCCTACAAAGAGAGAAACACACACTGAACTGTAAAGTCAGTAGTTTCACTGAACTAATGGAACTGATCTCAGGTCACAGACCCAAGCACGTACACAAGTTTTGGAAGTCCTGAGAGTACTAACCAAGAGCGTTGCTTTAACAGCACCTGTGCCAAGCCACTTTCCAGATCGGTGAAACTCACACACAACAGTGCTTTAGCACCCTCTACGGGTGAGCCACCCGTAAGCTAAGACAAATTCACTACAACAGCAAAATAAAATATAAAATACTGCTACAATTCCTGAGCTTACCTGAGAATAAAAAGGATGCATATCCAGATTTATCCTGATTCACTGCTAATGCTCAAGTTTTTACCATGAAGATTTTTATCTACTAGCTGCCAATCATGTGCTAAACACTAAACAAGGATTCAGCAAGAGTTCCATGAAAGAGTGGTTTTCCAGGTGAGTTAAGTAACAAAAATCAGGTTTGATAATTAGATGAACACAAGTTTTCAACACGAACAATGACTTCCAGTTACTTTCAACTAGTACAAGAAAACAACTAAGAAAAAGAAAACCACAACAAAACACCCATACAAAAACTCCTGTAGCAGGTCTTGGCCTACATCTGTATTTTATAAACAGTTAAGATTACACAGTAAAGTTCATGTAATCAAATTTCTTCAGTAAAATCTCTGTGCTTTGCAGAGTAAATCAATGCCTGATTAAGTGATGCTTTGACCTTCTGTCTTCTGCTAATTTATGAACAGGAAGGGTCAAGCACCCATCCAGTTGGTACTGGAGAGCCACCTTTACAATTACCAGGGCTAGAACACAACCTGCACAAAAGGGACAAAAACCCCACTGAAAGCCATGTGCAAGTGCTCATGGAACAGGATGGAAACAAGCTGCAGGTCTCATCCCCCAGCATCTGCTGAAGGAACTACTCCAGCACAGTGGCATCACTCAGGGAGGGCTCCTGAGAAAGGCTGCAGCTCTCCAGGTTTCAAGCTGCCAGGAGAGCCTGGGACCTCTCCTGAGGGTTGGAGCAAGCAGAGAAAATGTCCTTGCCTAGAGGAGGTGCACATCAGTGAGGAGCTATGTCACCAAGCTAAGGAGCTGCAGGAAGTCAGGGGGCTGCACAGCATCAGGGAAGACAGAGATTAATGGCATCTTCACCAAGATCTCACAGAGATGATAATCTGGAGAGAAAAAGTGTCAGCAGTCATTGAAGTGGTCAGTGGGAAGTCACAGGGAGTCTGGGAGTACCAGACTTGTATGAACTCTGGTGATGAGGAATCCATGCAGTGCCAGCAGCACAGAGTGCAGCTGCACAGGGAGCTGCAGGTTGAGCTCCATGTGATGGGACCCTTTGCACAGGAAAGAGCACAGGGACCTGTGGCCCTGCCAGGCGACAGGACACTCAGGGACAGGGCAGGAGCCAATGGCACAGAGGAAAAACCCCACACTATCACACACAGACTGTGAGGGTACAGAAGCCCAGGGGTTCCTTGGTTTGGGGTCCCTGCTCAGGGACACCAGCCCAAGCTGTTATTCTGTTGTTACACCTGACTAAGCTCTTTTAAGGATCCAGATGCCTGAGGCTCTGCTGTGAGAAACCAAGGGTCGAGCAGGAAAGGAAACCTTGTCTGGCTGTGTGGGTGTGCAGGGAGCCAAGCAAGGCCCCCATCGCTCCCTGGAGCCACCGGCTGCAAAGGGACCTGTCCCAGCTCAGGGGGTCCAAGAGTGTGACTGACTGCCAGAGCAGCTCCCAGATGGACAGACAGGAAAGTCTCCTTAACCTCTGGCCAAGAGAGGGCAAGCCTTCTGCAACCACTGGCAGTGTTTCAGTGTCAGACAAGAGGCTGGAAGTTGTGAGGAAGCATCAGAGCTGTCTGAACAGCACATCCATCCACAGCCAGAGGAAGCAGACATAGCACTATGAGACTCCATCCTACAGGAGAGAGAGCCCCATCTTGAGCCAACTTCACTTGTTAACCAGCAGAGGTTTGCTGCTTGGTGAAAAGTTGCAGATTGGCAAAGTTGTCCTCTGCTTGGATTATTAGTCCTTGCTGTTTACCCACATGGGCACAAATTTTAAGTGCTGGAACAGGACCTCTGAGAGTATCAAAAGTGACTCAACAAGTTCTAGGGGCAAGGAGGCATCTCCACAATTTTGCCATTAAAGGAGACAGGTTCGGAGAGATGTCTGCAGGTCAGGAGCTGGTTATGCAGCTGGTGCAATAACAAGGACTTTCTTGGCTTTTACAGACATAGGATGCTCTCTGGGGATAATGGACTGCTAGGGAGAGATGGAATCCACCTAAGTCAGACAAAAGTATCTTTGCCTTAAGGTTGCCCAGCCTAGTGAGAGCTTTAGACCACAAACAACAGAAGTGTAAATAACAACCCACAGATAAAAAGAAATTAATGGTCATGGGTGGATAGCAAGTGGTGAAAGGTGATAGCTGCAAGGGAGATGTCAAAGTGATAAAAGAAGGGAGGACAGAGCCCACCACAAGTATCTACAGAAGTGCACATAGCTTGGGAAACAAGCAGGAAAAACTAGAGTTGCACATGCTGTGACATTACTGGGAGAGTGTTGGGCTACCTGAGGGACAGTGACACAGCTTGCACAACTGGAATACTGCTGTGGAAGGACAGACATAAGCTGCTTAGTAAAGGCAGGCAGAGCAGATGAGGACAGAGGGTTGTCTTCCATGTCAGAGAGCAGCTCAGATGTATGGAACTGAATAGGACAGACAACAGGTTGGTTGAGTTCTTGTGGGTCAGGAACAGAGGAGGGACTAGGAAGGGCGACAGATCATGCAATCCAGGTGAGAAAATTGATAAAGTCTTCTTTAAACAACTTAGTAAGTGTCTACATCACAGATCCTGGTTCCTATTCATCTCCCACATCTTCTGGAAAACAAATCTTGACAAGTAGTCAAGATTTCTTGATACAGACACCAGATAAACCAGAGATAACCCAAAGCTAAATCTGTTACTTATCTGTTAAGACAAAAGAGTTGTGATAACCAGTGGCAGCTTTAGCTGCAGTGATCATGAAATGTCAGAGTTAAAAGTCCTGGAGAAAGGACAGTAAGCCAAATACAGACTTATGACTTAACTTTTCATTTCCTCCTGGCGCCCCCACACAGTTCAGGCTCAGCCCTATCAGATGCATTACTGGACAACACCTTCAGTCCTTCACCTGCAGCCAGAGCACTGAACCTATGCTGTACTTAGAGAAATGCAGGTGTAGTAAAATTCTTCCTGTTGCAAGAAGTGATAAACTGCCAGCTCTTCCAAATCTTAGAAGACTGTCTTCTAATCCAGTTTGTAATCACACTCTCTGACTGCATCTCCTTCACTGTGGTTGCAGGTTTAGTCTCCTGTAGCTGCAGGAGGGTCTAAGGTTTCATCCATTTCTTTCTGTAGTCTCCAGTGCTGCACAGTCTGATAATCTCTTCCGGAAACTCCTTACCTTGGTGACAGACACCCTCCCCCACCTCCTGCAGGTAAAGAATCCATCTTCCCCTGTCCCAACACGCTCAGCAGGACAAAGAACCCAGGCCCATGTAACTCCAGGCCTGGAGGGCTTCCTTCTCCTGTAAGAACTTGACCCAAGCACTGCAGAGCCTGAAGTAGAAACTATGTTTCAGACTTCCTCCAAAATCTCACTGGAAAATGGAAGAGCTGCATCTGAACAGATATAGACTCCATCCCAACTAGGTGCGAAACTGCAGACTAGAAGCAATAAGACCTCACAGTGCAAAGTAAATAATTAGAATAAACAATATTATTAACAAGTTTTATTTGATTCTGAATGCACAAGTCATAGCTTAAAAGACTAAACATTAATGCCTGCTGTTCTTTCTCTACCAACTATTAGCTCAATCTAATTCTCAATTCTGGTGTTTGGTAATCCCATAAAGAGCTGAAGCTTCTTCTGGAGAAGACCCATTCTCCTAAAATACTGGTTTACAAATAGCACTTTCCTTAGAAAAGCAGTTCCACTGAAATCAGTGGAGCTGTCCCTGGCAGAATAGGCTTTGTTTTTCTGAAAGATGAGAGCCTTAATTAGCAGATCATCATTACACTATTTATTTTCATTTCATTGAAATATCATTACACTTTTTATTTTCATTCAATGAATTTAATAACTCTTCACCTGATTTTAGAATTACCAGCTACATATTCAGTCTATACCTATATTGTACAGTTTTGGTTTTTTTATTCTACTTCAAACATCATGGTATTTGAAAACTTACAGAAAATATGGATCTATTTGTGGTTGAAGTACAAAGCCTCTCTCTCCTTTCTTGTTACAACTTCAGTGAAAACTAGTTTTCTTCCAATATTTACCTGGGATTATGAACACACTGGGATAAATGTGGTACCTTGCTTTTTATTTAGGTAGTATCCATGACTCACATTCCTGTGGCACATAAGACACCATTTCTTGTTAAATCTCACATAATTTATTTAGACGTCTAAAGATGGTTTTGCCAGTCAGTTAAATAAAAGCTTAAAGAGATTGTTTTTATGGGTTTCTCTTTACATATTGTCAAGGTTTACATTAGGTTGGTCTCAAAGAAACAAAGGACTATAAAATATCTACTGCCTCACCAAATCTACAGGCACTCCATGATGTGATGCTAATCACAAGACAATCCAGGTCCAGTAAAATTTAAAAAATCACTAGTTTGATTTCCTATGATGAAACAAGAAATAAAAAGAGATAAAAATCTCTTAATCATTCAAAATACTAAATACCTTCTAGATGGCTGATGCTGTCTATATAAAACTAGGAAACACTGCAGCTCTCAAAATACTTTCTTTTAAACTCCTTAACAGCAAAAGAAGTAGAAAACCTGATGAAAAGTATTTATGAAAATTAATTAAATGAAACAATATCAGTCCAAGTCCCGAACCTCTCACCAAAAAAATCCAACAAACTAAAAACCCAAAAAAGATCATTTTAATAGACTATAGGACAAAATAAAAACAGAATCAACAGCAATTAGTTCAGTCAACTTGAACTAATTGAATTCAACAAACCCTTGAAGATCAATATTAGATGTTTACAGTGCAAGCACGTATCACACCAGTGAACAGTGAAGGCTACTCATGTTTTATTACCATGATGTATATAAGCTGTTTGCATTCAGACTCCAAAATTATTACTTCCTATCTGTGTTACTAGACATATTTATGAAGGTGAAATATGTTAAAGGAAGATTTATTTGGCAATTCTACTGTAAAGCCAAACCCACAAGCATTCTGAATTATGGTAACAACGAGAACAAAACCAGTAAGTGCAGCACAACACCACAGTCTTAAGCATACAATAAAAATTCAAGCAGAATAATAAAAAATATGTTCAACATTAAACCTTTTGTTTTTCCCCAAAAACATGCATTTCTTATCCTCCTCCTCTATTGTTATCTTTGAAGCCCAAGGGAGTGATTACTTCAGAAAAACTACTGACACTGTGCTAAACCTGGGAACTCTCTACATGATAAAGTGCATAAAGTACAAAGTTCAATAAACTCACCATTTCAGTGGTGTGCCTTCGTATTCAAACCATATTTCACTAACTTCCTCCTGTCTCATAACTTTCTGAAAGTGCTTCTTTACTTTGTCTGTTACCAGTGTCAAGTAGCTTATCCTTGGCAAAAGCAACTGAAAAAAAATTATAGAAGCGTTAAGTGTAAGTAAAATACACTAAACTAGTAAAAATCTGTAACAAGTATGCATTTTCATAATCAAAATTCAGTTAGCATTCTTTTCTTCCCCTTTTTAAGGTGAAACAGTTTACTTTTTAATGGTCAATGGAAGGCTATAAAATGATGTACACAGAAGATGTACTACGCAGAATAGTAGTATCCAATATGTTAACACCAAAAAAAGTTAAAAATTAAGTTCTTGATTCTTTCAGTGGGTTGGGGGGAGAACAGTGGACTTCAATTTCTGATTTTCTGTATTTAAATAATGAAGTTTTAAACCTTATTATATGAGCACATAAGAAGACATTATAACTTCTAATTGAAAAGAATGAGAATGTGTATTAGCTATTATTCAAAATGAAAATTCCTATACAAGGAAAAATAAAATAAAGCCAATGAAAATTAGATATTAAAGGCTTGGTTTCCCAGTGTTTTGTATTTTCAATAGTTGTTAATTTCCATTTTCTTTGCACTGGGTTTGCCATTTCAACCTATTAGTCAAGACTGCCATTCTTCTACTATTTAACCTTCACCCAGGAACTAAAATCAGAAAGAAAACTGTAAATATTTTATTAGCTGAAACAAGCTTCATCATATACTAGCTTCTTGTCTTAAGTGTATACTATCCAAATCAGAATGTTGTGCTATTTTTATTTGCAACATCTTCCCTATCACCTCTTTTTTTAAAGCCTTATGCCCAGGAGTGGTTAAGCACTCAGTACCAATCAGTGAATTGACTGATGACTGTGTGGCACATTGACTAGAGATAAATCAATCCCTAAGCATTAACAAACAATGCTTTTCAGTATTCAGTAACCTTCCTATAAAATATCAATTCGCTTTAGACCAAACATTTTAAATTAATAGTATCCATCCTGTAAAGTTCTGCTTCATAATTATTAATAAAATAGATGGGCCTAAGGTATATATAGATTATCGTTTGCATGTTTAGAGAAACATTTCTTTTCCAGTGTTCCTCATAATCAGTGCTGCTTCTTAAAGTATTTTCTTTATAGTATATGAATAATGCCAGGCCTCAGTGAATGCCTGTGGTACAGACATCCTAAATCATGTAAGGATATATTTTGCCTGACAGAAAACTTGATCTCTGCTGTAACATTCTTCCATAATTTCTCCAATAACTAGACCACACTTTGATATATAAATCAGATAATATTTTGGCCAATCAGATAATATTTCTGTTCAAGTATCTGGAAGAACAGATTCATCTTTTTGATAATGCTGCATTAGGTTACATCTGTGACACAGGTAAATTTCACAATTTTATAAAATTACATAAGGCCAAGTCTCACCCCTGTCACAGTCATCATGTCAGTTAACACTTCATTTTTCATGTACCATATGGTTCTCTTTTTCCAACTGCTGCTTTTATTATCATCATCACATTATTTCTACCATGTTTCATAGGAGCAATGCAATCAAAACACAGCCTTCATTTTTAAAAGGCAAACAAACTCAATAAATTTAATGAAGTTATGTACACATTCAAGTAAGAATTGTTTGGTACTTTAATGACAGAAGCTTATCCTTTATTTACCTAATTCCATATCTTCACTGATTGCTCTTGAGACAATACAGTCCAGGCTATACCAATCAAACCCACATATTTTTGGTAGTAATTTCATGTTATTTCTGCATGATATGTACAGTTAAATTAATGCTGGTGTAATTTGAGAAGACTTACTAGGACTCTTACAAAAGACATTTTTCAGCATGTTGCATGTAGCACAGCCATGCTGGAATTGATAAATATATTAAAGCATTATTTATTGCAACAGTGTTTCACATAACCCTTTAGATTGCATAATTTCCTCCATAAAATACTCTGCTTCAGTTTATGTTGTGAAAGAACAACCCAGTTTCTACTTCAACAAAATTAGAGAAAACAGACAATAACCAAACAGCTTTCAACTGAATTTAACAGAACGTGGCCAGCACTCCCAAATGACTTCAACAAAAACTGTACAACTGTACAAAACCCAACAGTTAATCAGATTAACAGGAATTACCTCTTTTTCAGACATGTTGAGCATTTGTAGAGCCTACTGAACTCTTTGTTTGGTCCCCCCCATTCTTTTACCATGATACAGTTATCCCCTTCCCTTGATATAGTTACGCCCCTATAGGATAAATGAAAGGATCCAAATCTACCACTTTTCTAGCTTTAATTTATCTAGCTTTTATTAATCTTAGAGATTTACCAGTACACTAAATCTGTTAAGTGAGATCTTTAAGAGCAGTTTAAACACATTTTCACCTTCTTACCCCTTTTAATATCCATTCTCCACCCAGTGAAAGATACCTGATCATGGGTTCCCTTCATTAAATTAAGAAAAGTAAACCTCCAAATTCATCACTAAGCAGAATAAATCCCAACAGCCATTCCTAAATGTTATGCCCAAAAACTACACAAATCTCAACACCTTCCTTTTGAATAGTATGTAATTGCTACAGTATTTAATCACAATAACCAGGAATGTTTTCTTATTAACCAGGAGGTTAAATGAATAACAAAGAACTCCTAATGCCTAAGTAAATGCCTGCAATACAACTTTGTGGAAAGAGTGCCTCTCCAGGTATATCCACAGGTTTTGTTGCACAGCATGCAGTATTTTTACATACAAAGCACTAAAATAGAAAAATTATAGATTTAACAAGAACTGGACTGGTCTGATCACTAAAATGTCAAGGGAGATGAAACAAAACATCCCATCTTGAAATGGCTTCATGTTGCTCTTTCCTACAGATATCTTAACAAAATAATACTTTTGACACCAAGCAAGCTAAGGAGTGGTCCTGTTAAAGACTAGTCCCTGGGGCAGAGCATCATTCTAAAACTGTATCCTGCTGTAATTTTGTTCTTTATACATCTGACAAGTCTCAGCCAATGAGTCTCTGCTTCCTGTATACTTCTTTCATCCTTTTCTTTCTAACTGTTGCTTGCAGCAACAGGCAAACATCATATAATTTTAAAATGAAATGCATAACAATTTTAGGATGAGAGAAAAATCAGATAAATCAGCAACCAAAGCAGATCAAGCAAATTGTTCCTAAATGTGCTGCCACTCAAAACATAACCATCTGTCTGAAACACTCCAAAGAAAATGGATGTATCCATTCCAGCATAACTGCAGAAACCTACCCTACATGACTACATTAAAACACAGGACAATGTTTTACTGGAGCTGCCCAGGCTTTATGTCACCACTCTTTCCAAAAGACAGACAAGTTAATTTTAAATTACTTGTCCTACCCCTGTGCAGTGCCAGAAGGTGATACACACAACTCCAACTGCTGTGCTGCACTAACCCATCTGACAGACAGGGCTCTCCTGTCACACCACTCACAAAACCCAAAATCCATCCCACAGACTCAGAATTGTTTTTCTAACTCCTCACCCCCCAAGTCTATGTCATCCTTCATCTTCATAAAGCAAATTCCTCAGAGCAGAATCCTTTATCCTCTCTCAGCTTAATGATGCCAGTATTCCCTTTCCATGCAGTCTTTCCATTTATGAAAGGCAGTCTGGAATAAAGAAGTTGTATCAATACTAACAAGTAAGAGGAGCCATGTAAAGCTGAAGAGCTGATGTCAAGGGCTGGAAATGTTAACTACACATGTGCTTTTCTACTTTACCCACAATTTTACTTTTTAATTTAGCTCAAGTTTGCTCCCATACACCAAATGTCCATTAGCAACTGAAGTCCATCACCTCCTTCAGCTTCACATGAAAATAATTCAACCCATGGGCTGACTGCTCTGTGATGCCAACCTGGGCACAGGAAGAGGGGAGGATGAAGACTTATTTCAAACACACTCCAGATCTGAACAAAAACATTAATGCAAACACACTCTGAAACTATCAGAACTATACCAGGACTTAAAATCCTGATTGCTCTTCTGCCTGATACTATTATAAATCCTTGGTCCCTCATAAGGCACAAAGCTGTATTATCAGCTCCAACATGAACTGAAAATTTAAGAAGCTAAAATTTTAGAACTGTCATCCTGAGTAACCACATTTTGCAGAAAGAAAAAATTAAGCATTGAGAATTTTGTGCACACTTTATATGGAGTAAATAAAAGAAATCCTATGACCTTAAAACCATTTCCTTGACTTAGAAAGCTGGCCACACCACAAGGATAACATGGTTTCATGCTTTCCAAGCCAATGTTAAGCAGATCAGGGCTCTAAGGCTCTAAACTTAAATCTATAACTTTCAAGTAGCTCTTACACAAAGTGTGCAAACATATTTTAACTCATATGTATAATTTAAAGTCTCAGACTTTTAGATTAGATGTATTTGGCAACAGGTCAATAAAAATGAAGTGCAGTGCTTATCTTTCAGCAGTGATGAAACTAAAATATACAAAGATAAGCACTATTACTGCTGAACAAAAAGCACCAATAGTTTATTAGGTTTTAAAACAACACACGCAAATGAGAAACTGATGACCCAAAGATATTATTGACACAGAAAAAAGAGATCCATCCAGTGTGGAATGGGATATGATAAGGCTTAAGAATTTCAGAATCCCATAAAAATTAAAAGTTCAATATTTCCCTCCCATATACTCGTTACATTTCAAATTTGCATTTCACGAAATCAGCTAACATTCTTTCTCAATTACATGTCTATTAGGTGCTGAAAGAATGAAAACTGATGAGAACACTATAAATAAATACATCATTATAGAAGACACTTCCATGTTATAACTCAAATACATCCATCATCCCTTTTTTATCATCAGCCAGCAATCCTGTTCAGGCAGTGTTCTCTTTAGCCATTACAGTTGCTTTTCTTATTTCTTTAAAGTCCAGCAGTCTGGACTTTAAAGAAAAAAAATGAGCAGAGGTCATCCACAGAGCCAGTGTTTATTAGCAATTTGTGATACACAGGTGACCAACCTTAAACATTGAGATTTCATAAGTCTGATTAAATTATTTCTGCATTACTAGGAGTTCTCTCCCTTCAACTGCTCATTATCCAAGAACATACAAACTCACATCCAGCCTCCTCCTTTACTTAGTCACTCACTGACTTCTTAAGAATTTTTTCAAAGATCTTAATGACCTGTGATAAGTTCCTCTCACTAGTGACACAACTTGCTGTGAAGAAAGATGAAGTCACACAGCATGGCTATATGTTTACTTTCAGAAGCTTCTAGGAATAAGAAGAAAAGAAGCGGGGTTTTTTCACAATATGCAGTAGTACACATGAAGAGAATAAAGGAAACAAACATAACCGTGGCCTTGGACTATTTGTGACTACCTTTGTCATACTCACATAGTAGGGGTCAGCTTCCCTTTCAGTTATCTCATCCTGATACAGAGTGAAGCAGGTCGGTATTCGCCCAAACCACACATCTCGAAGCACATCTTTGTCATCTGTCATTCTTCCAATAGACAGTGAAGCACATGTAGATCAATTTGTTTCTTCAGCTACAAATGTAACCCATTCCCCCCAAAGAGAAAACAAGTCAAGACGACTGCAAATAAAACACATCTTGCTAAAGGTTCTCCCATAACTACGTTCCTGCAGGCTGACCAACGCTGTCACCGGGGCATTAAATGCATCGCTTGGCACAAAGAACGGGATGAATTAAGTTCCCAGCTACAAACGCATGGTGGATAAGGAGTGAAACATAAATGAGCATTTCCTAAGGCTGCATCACGCCCCAGCCGCAGAGCCAAAGGTCCCTTCCCGGTACCCCGAGAGGCCGCGGTGCGGGGGCAGAGCCCGGGGCCGCGCACGGACACCGAAACGAGCCGGGCTCTCCGCCGGGGGCGGCACCGGCCCGGGGGTCACCGAGGCCGCAGGACGGGCCCCAGCATCGCCGAGCGCCGCGCTGCGACCCGGCGCCCTCCGGAGCCCGGACAGGCCCCGCGGGGTCTGTCTGTCTGCCTGTCTGTCGGCCCGTCTGTCGACCTCTCTCCCTCCCTGCCGGCAGCCGGCCGAGGTGAATCAGCGGCGCTCCCGCCCCACGGGGCCGGACCAGGCAGCGCCGCGGCGGCCGCGCCAGGCGCGCTGTCCCGGGCAGCGGCCGGGCCTGGGGCGGGCCCGGGCGGGCGGGCAGCCCTGCCGTGCGGGCCGGGCCGTGCCGGGCCGTGCCGTGCTGTGCGGGCCGGGCCGTGCCGTTACCTCTGTCGCGACCGGCGACACCGCCCGCCCGCGCGCGGGGCAGGAACTGAGCGGCGGCCGCGCCCCCGCCGCCGCCACGCCCCCGCGCACGCGCCGCCCGCCGCGGGGCTTCCGCCCGGCCCGCGCGCCCGCCTCCGCCGGCGCCGGAAGCAGGAAGCGGCGGGGCGGGGCCAGGGGCGGGGCCGGGAAGGGCTGGAGCCGGGAGGTGGTCTCGGAGCCGGGAGCTGGTCTCGGAGCCGGTCCCAGAGCTGCTCCCGGAGCCGAGAGCCGGTCTCGGAGCCGGTCCTAGAGCTGCTCCGGGAGCCGGGAGCCGCTCCCAGCGCCGGTTCCCAGCGCCGGTTCCCAGCCGCTCCTGGAGCCGGTCTCGCAGCCGTTCCGAGAGCGCTGTTGGTGCGGCAGCGCTGGCGGCGGAGAGCCGCAGGGCCGCAGCCGTACCGGACCCGGCCATGGGCCCCCTTCTGAGCCTTCTGAGGCATCGGCGGGGCCGTTCAGCCGCAGGACCGCGCGTTGGGGGATTTTGAGCGCTTAATCTCTCTGTTTTCTTTTACCCGATTGTTCTTTTTCTGCTTCCCCAAGGAAGTAATCATAGCACCAAGGCTCACAGAGTTCAAGGAGCGCTTGGATAATGCTGTCAGGCACATGGTGTGACTTTGTGGGGTGTCTGTGCAGGACCAGGAGTTGGGACTTGATGGGTCCCTTCAAAACCAGAATATTCTGTGACTTTTCCTGTGGTAGAATTTTACCCACCGTGGTGGATGGAGCCAGTCTAGAGGAGGCCACAAATTTGCTAGGAGGACTGGAGCCCCTCCCCTGCAATGAGAAGCTGAGAAAGGTGGGGCTGGAGAAGAGAAGGTTCTGTGGAGACCTCAAGGCAACCTTGCAGTATCTGAGGGGCCTGCTGGGAAGCCAGAAAGGCACTCTGGGTCAGGAACTGTGGTGACAGGACAAGGAGGAATGGGGACAAACTGAAAGATGGGGTGACGCTGTTGAGTCAGGGATGGAATGAGTGACTGTAGTCATCAGAAGGTGAAATAGAATCGGTTTCTTAGGAAGAAGTTGTGACTTTTATAGTCTGATTTGATAAGCTGATACTTGATTGATCTTAAAGTGAAAATTTCTCATACTATTGGTGAACTATGAATAGCACACTTTGGAGAATTGTATCTATAAACAATGGTTACAGAAAGAAAGTTAATAATTGTTTGAATTCTTTCTTCTAAGCTTCTGACAGCTTTTACACAGCTTCCCAGGATTTTCTTGGGAGAACTATGCTTCTCTCTGTTTAGAGGCTATGTATTCTACAATGGGAAATTTATTTAAGATATTGGGAAGAAATCCCTTACTGTGAGGGTAGTGAGGCAGTAGAGTAGGTTGCTCAGGGAGGCTGTGGGTGTCTCAGCCTGGCAGTGTTCAGTGCCAGGTTGGATAAGGCTTTGATCAACCTTGTCCAGTGGGAGGCATCCTTGCCCATGGCAGGGCAGATTTGGATTAGATAATATTTAAAATCCCTTCCAGTTCTTCATATTCTACACTTCAGTGATTTTATACCAAGGTCACATGAGGAGTACCTGTCGCCACCAGTGGCACCTCTTGCCTACCAAAGCATCCTTCTGGATTGGTTTTTATCAGCTCGGTAGATGCAAGTCCACAGTGAATTCCACCTGTGCGCTTCAAAGAACATCTCCCACAATTCTGTCGCTCTGCAAATCCCCATCTCAATGTCCTACAACTGCAGGAGTGCAGGGGAAGATCAACACTGGTGGCGGGGAACATCATAACTCCCAAGGAAGATGTGTATCCTGTTGTGCTACACACTAGCAGTTGTCAACGCTGGGTTGTTCCGTGGTGTGAAAAACGCCAATCACTTGTTTTTAAAATTTTTAAAAGTTTAATGGTAATAAAATGGTTATAAAAATAGTAATGCAATTAGAATAATAATAATTTGGACAATTTGAATTAGGACAATATGAGACAACAAATACAAAGAGTTATGGATGTCCAGGTACCTTTTTCTGGCAGCACAAGCCCAAAAAAGGACCCCCGTTAACAAAGGATTAACCCTTAAAAATAACAGCCTGTTGCATATTCATACACTTCATACATGATGCATAAATTCCATTCAAATACAGGATTCTGTCTGGTCATCGTCAACTTCTTCCTCCAAATCCTAACAGCACCCTCGAGCTGGGAAGAAGTTTGTTTCTTCTGATAAGACGGCAATAAATTTTTTTTCTCTGAAAGATTTAGGTGTCCTGTGGCTGCTATCTGCGAGTCCTTTCTTTTAAAAAAGTATCTCACATAGCATCGTTTCTATTTTAACAATTTTTATAACCTAAAACTATATTTAACACACTACTTAAGAGAATTAATACAGCATTACTTTCTAACACAACACATATAATATTCATTGCAATATTTGTGAAAAGCCAATCATAAAATACATGCATTTTTCACACTTTGTACCACTTTGCTGTTGGCAAAGTGTTCAACAGCAGCGAGCGAACATCTCAGAGCGGGTGTTTGGCTCATTGGGATGAGAGCTGGTTTTAGAGGATGCACGGGCGGCGGTTTCAGTAGTGCCACGTTCTGGCCGTGCTGCCTTGTGGCCACCAGGTGTCATGCAGTGGCCGCGGCTGCTCAAGGAGTCTTCAGGAATTCGGGAACTAGCTGCAGTTATCACAGACTTTCGGTGGGGTTTACCCAAAGACTGGCATTTTAATAAGTTTGTGTGTTGCTGAGCCAACAGTATGATTTGTGGAACTCTAGTATCTTTTCAGTTGTCTGAAAGATTAGAAAAGTCTGAAAGGCTTATTTTAAATTTTTCCCAGTTTAAATGAGATCATCATGATAACCTCTTTTTGGTAAAACATAATATTCCAAACATGAAGCCTAATAAATAATTATCTGTTTTGCTACTGCTCTATAAGCAAAAAGTTAAGCTATGGCACTTTTGTGAATTGAGGCATACACAAGGAAGCTTTCTTTGCCTTCTCTCTCAATTTTTCTGTGACACATGGATTTAAAAAGGAGGTAAACTTTTTAAGGAGAAAACTTACTATTTGGTATGGCCTGCCCCAAGGACAGGGAAAGAAGGCACAGAGCACCTGTGATATTGCAAGGGCTTTATGCTCTGAAGGGACCAGTTCCTTTACACTCCTGAATATGGGCAGCTACACTCACCTTGCATGTGTTGGGCATGATGGTGGAAGGGGAGAGGTTCCTCCAGAAGTATTCTCTGTGCACTCACAGCAGTTTTAACTAGTGTGGATGGGGCGGAAATTACTGCCCTGCAAACCTGGAATGGCAGGAGGCATGCACAGAACTGATCCCACAATTACAGAGACATCCAACCCACAAGCACTGCACATTTACTGAAGGCTTCTCTGTGTGTTTCTGCAAGGAACCCCCTTAATGCTGTTAGAGGCCTGCTGAAAGCAGTCTCAGGAGGGTGCTGTGAGATGCCAGCACCACTGGAAAAACAAACAAACAGAAATCCCCGACCGAACAGACAAAAAAAGAACAAGATTTTTACAAAGATTTTTCCTCATTACATAATTTGCAAGCTTTCAGAAAGCTTTGCACATAGGGATATCCCTACAGGAAATCAAGGAGAACCACAGGGTTAGTCTTTGCCCTTTCCCCCTATGAGCTCCTCAGAGGTCTCCTGTAGAAAAGGATGGTTTTGGTGGGATGTGTAGGCTGAAGGGTTTGATTGATCATCGTAGCAGCATCACTAAAGGTAATGCCAGGTCATTTATTTTCTCACAGTCAGGGAGGAGTCTGCAAGCTATTATCAGTGACCCTGTTAGGATGTGACTCCTTGATGCTGCCTGTGCTCACCTCCTGAGGTCTGTCCTCAACCCCACTACTGCAGTTCTTGAAGCACAACGTTGGCCTGCTAGACTGTGCAATCAGCATTCTGTTGATTACTTACAGTGACTACCAAGCAGATTAAACATTTACTTCTGCATGTTTCTCTTGTGTATAATATAAGGAACATAGGCACCCGACTCAGGCATGTAGATTCCACTTCATAGGCTGAAAACTGAACTCCATCGAGCACCCAAGTATTTTGCTGGATCTAGATACAAGAATAGAACTCAGTCAAGTTATAAAGTGAGAAAACTTGCTACTTAAATTATCTTCCCATTTAAACATTGTGCTGGTGTAATTACCAGTCACAGATACAGCAAGGTGCATTGTCCATGTGAGATTTTGAAGACAATAATTCTGTAGGTAAATGAGGCTCTGCTACTGAGACAAAGTTGGTTGTAGATAAACACATGAGATATAATGTGACTACTGAACAAATAAACTAAACCTGAAGTGAATGCTAGCTTTGCTGTTATTATGACTATAAATAAAATACCCAAATCTAATATTAAAAATAACTGCTAGGATGTAATGTCAAAATAAGCACAATAAAAAGAGAATTACCTCTTTGACATACGGTTTTCCACATTGCTATCTAATGCTTTCAGTTGCACTGTCACTCGGCACAGTGGACTGGTCTAAATTGGAAGGGGAAGAGCTCAACAAACATATTTCCAATTCCAAAGATCCTCAAGCAGTATTCCCTCATTTTAAACGTCATCATCAGACAACACACAGTGAGTCATTGCCTAATGGCAGCTGAATCAAAATACCTGTTATTGAGTGCACATGGAATGTGAAGATGCTTGTAACAAACAAGATTATAATTAAAGATGCATTAGTTCTAATAAAAATAAGATAAATGGAACAGATGGTTTACATATTTGTGGGCAGTTATGTTTTTGTGTAATGGTAGTGCAGATGAAGATTTGTAAGCACAATCAGTGTATAATTTACATTGGAAGGGACCTCTGGAGTTCTTCCCTGACATCCAGGCCAGCACCCCTCCTCAAAGTGGGAGTAACTACAAAGTTAGAACATACTGGCAAAGGCAAATCATGCCACCATTTGATTGCTGCAAAGTGACCTGAAATAAAACATGAAATACTATTTCCCTCTTCATTTTGCTGGAAGTGGGATTACTGATATTCATTGCTTTGATGACATGGAATGAATTTAATGGTGCTTTTATAAAACTGATATTT